ACCGCGTCGAGTGGACGCGCTCAGGGCTCGGAGTCCACGTTAACGCAGTGCAGCGTTTCCCGAGCAAGCACGGAGACGCTGCCGGAGAAGGAGGCGCTGCCGGAGAAGAAAACGCTGCCGGAGAATTCAGCTGTGCGAACTCGAGTGCCGCTGACAATGCACACAAGAAATTTTCTCAGTCATTTGCTGCGAACAAATCAGATCGGGTAATCACTGAAACTGCGCAATAAAACCAACTACACTCAGATGCTATCACGTACAGCCCCAACGGGCCGACGAATTTGGCAGCCCCGCCACGGTAGTCTAGTGGTTTAGGTACTCGGCTGCTGACGGTTACGGTATTGAATCCCAGCTGCGGCGGCTGCATTTCTGATTGAGGCGGAAATGTTGTAGGGCCGTGTGCTCAGATTTGGGCGCACGTTAAAAATTCCTACGTGGTCAAAACATCCACAATCCTCCACTACCGCGTCTCTCATAATCATATCGTGGTTTTGGGACTTTAAACCTCACATGGTATTACTAAAATTATTATACTGAAAAACATTGAGCAAAGTGACGGATATGAATTTCGACCAGACAGCCGTTAACTCACGTGAAATGCAGAATGACACGCGGTAATTCATTAGAATGCTTCTTTCTTGAGTACCACTGGGATGCGTCGTGCATTATCGCCTTGATTGGATAACTTCACGGATCAAAAAAGCCTATACGAAGCAAAACAGCGCTTGCGCCTGGTGATAGTCTCACCGTTCGGTAAGCGGCACTTCGGTGAATGATACGGTTCTATCCATGACGATATCCAGAACACGGTGCAAGACTGCCACAATAAACTCATTCTATTCCATGCACGCACGCTGTGGAGGATCTACCATCTGCAGTGAACAGTGTTCTGCCACCTCAATTGTGCATTGTTCACAATGCTTGCTAAACCACCACCGGAAAGTAAGACCGGGACATCTACCGTTCGAAGCCTGATATCCCGAATGTTGTAGTGGCTGCAGTAGAGACCTAGTTTTCTAGGTCACTCTTGCTACAACAGCCACAGTGCATGACAGCGCACTCTAGAGTTCGCGCATTCCTTCAAGAGTAGATGCCTCCAAATGGTAGGCCTCCTGATAAGCTGCTCTTTAGCGAAGCACGTCGAACAGAGGAGGCATTTAGGATGACTGGCAGTTGCGCGTGTTGGTAAAGGTTCATGGTGAAACAAGCGCAAAAATACACACACTCAGAGAGGACACAGACAAGCGCTTACTAGCAACTAATAATTTTGTTTTGAAGCGAACACTAATAAATACAAGGAGTGCACCTGCCAACCGAAATTTTCCGACACACGAATAATTGACAGGCACAACAAGCGGACGATGAGAGAAATAATGGAAGCGTATAGAATAAGGAAAGGAGGGGACAGTTGCGTCAGCCAAGCGTCAGTTCTACTAACAGATGCGGAATTTGCTTTTTTGGACGTCACATAACGCAGTGTTTTTCTCTGTGTTACGTTTTTTTTTGTTTTTTGTTTCTTTGGTTCTTTTGTTTTTCTGTTTTGTGCTTTTTTACATTTTCTTTCTTTTCTTAGTTCTTGACACGTGTTTGTTTCCGGTTGTGGGCGCGTGTATATTTTGTTATATCACGTTGTTGATGATGACAGGGGAAATCGGGAATGACACACATGCGTGTGATGTATATATTAGTGTTCGCTTCGAAATAAAATTTTCAGTTGCTAGTAAGCGCTTGTCTGTGTCCCCTCTGAGTGTGTATTTTTGCGCTTGTTTCATCATAAAGGAGGCATTTGCCGAAGGAAAAACAGTGCCAACGTTGATTGTTGGTTATTGCAACGCCTCCTTTAGAAGGATGTCTGCAACATCGCACGCTTTCTCATAGAAACGGGAGGTTTCTCGTAGTTCAGTGCTTTCTCCGCAAGGAACGCTCGCAGCCGACACTACTACTTCCGCTCGATTTGGAAGTGACGCCATCACAGACACACGACCCTGTTGCCTCCGAGACGACAATAGGCATTATTTTAATCTCAGCGGCGGCAAGGCTTAAAACGGCTGCCGCAGCTAGCACTCGAAGCTGACAACGTTTGGGGGAGCAGAGAAGGAGAAAACAGGAGAGGGCCAGGAACCAGCTCTTCGGCTCAAGTCACAGGCATCTTTCTACAGGAGGCGTTTGTTATGGTTAACACGCCTATATTCAAATTTACGCCCTTGGAGATGATGAAGGGCGATTGCGAGTCGTCCTGCTCTGCAAAAGCGCGGGAAGCTTCGCATCTAAAAACCGTCCTCCCTGCTGAAACACCGAGAGGTGGAGTCTAACAAACGGCATGCATATAAACGAGAACCTTCAAAGCATCTACTTTAGCTCGTGAACAACTGCTTAGAAGATTGAATGGAATCTTTATTTACTTTCTTGCAATCATTTCCGTTCTGCAGATCACGGTAAAACTATTTGTATATGCCACCAAAACTATGAATTGAAGCCTGACTGAACCCGACGACTTTTAAGGTCGACTTAAGGCAGGTGTGCCAGGGTACGTTGACATCATCCATCGTCATACTGTCAAGTTGAATAAGTGTTTATTTTCTACGCATTTTTAAATGTTGTTTTTGTTCCTTTTTATGAATTGTACCTACCCCTGAGCATAGCTTTATCTTGCTCGTTAGAATTTCTGGTTACAGGTACAAACAATTCCTGAACAATGTAACACATAAATGTCTTCTGTGTATCTATAATTTTTTCGAAAATACAATTCTCTTAAACACATTAGTATCCGACTAAAGGCTAAAGCGCGTTTTTATTTTTCGGTTACTTTTTTTTTCTGCCAGTTTTCACGTCTGCGTTTTTAAAGTGATCGGCAAAACATGAGAAAGTGGAGCTGTCCAACGGTATTTCGCGAAAATAAAGTGGACGTACACCCGCAAGGCCCCCTGTTGCCGAATGAGTGTGAAATGTTAAAAAGGAGAATTTAAACCAAGCTCGCAATCTAGTGCTAACTATGGTGTCAATGTATACTTGCGGACAACTTTTCTTGGCAACGAGGGGAAAACTACAGAGGTGGAGTTTCTGCACATGTACTTCTACTCGAAGTAGTCCTTATGTAACGCGTTCCGTACCGTTGTAGAAAGTCATGACTGTGCGCGATCAGTGTTTAACATCGACGCAGACGCCTCTTGGCATTCGATGTAGATGTAAAAGACACGGCTTCTTCAATGTTCGAAAACGTGAAGTGAGAGCAAATAAATTGAAACAAATACGAGTACGATACTCCTTTGAGCTGCCTCTTGTGTAAAACAGTTACATAATAAAATGAGTTCTGTATCATATATATTCCACGTAGAAAATGAATGACACAACTGTGGGACTTTGTAAATTACCAGTAGGATACGTGCGAAATCGCTCGGTAGCTTTCACTGCATTAGCAACGAACTTGTCGAGTATAGTTTATGTGCAGTCTTTCCAGTATAGTTCTAGAATCTGCGTTGATATCCGTCATGTTTAGGTCTCGTCGTAGTTTTAATCCTTGCACTTTAGGCAGCTCCGCCGTGAAACGTGAGGAAGTTATGTAGCACGGGCCATCCAGCGATTGTCTTGGCAATAGCCCCCTGTCCCAGGCAGTCCCGCCGTCTCATGCATGGTGCGGGTATCGGCAGAGTATTTCAGCAAGTTTTCTCGCCCTTTTAGGTAAATTATTGCGTTTTTCTGTTCTGTGGTTTATCTTATTTCAGACCTTCTTGGTATATTTCGCATTGTTTTGGACATTGTTCAAGGCATGTATTGTCCACTGCGTGACTATGCAGCATGAGTCAGTGAACGGGCAGGTTGGGTACCTAATGTGCTACTCACTTAAAACAAATATTAAATTGATATATACTGCTACTGATCAAAACAGTCCTGCTTTGCGATGCACTTGTGAAAAAGATAGGGGTGTTTACGAATGAATTCGCTATCTAGACTTACTTCAATGAAAGTGGCATTACAAGCTCGTCGCACTTCACCGCGATTTTCCGAATTGGTGGCAAGCATTCGGAATGGTCCGCTGTTAGGGAATCCGGTGAGAGCAGCTATAAAAATGGCTCGTAGATAGTTCGTCGTGGCTATGGCTGTTTGGGTGATTCATACTGAAATACTGGCACCACAAACTAACAGCACGCAGAAAGACAAGACATGAAATTGCAGAATTAAACGAGTTTATTCATGAAATATATTATATACTGAAAAACACGACGGGAAAGGAAAATACAATGGGTAAAGTACCACCATGATCAATGGTCGTCCAGAAACGACATTTCAAAATTTTAAAACGATACAGGTGGTGAACTGACCCAGCTATTAGTAATATTTTTTATGAAAAAGGCCTCCTCAACCTTCCTAGCTTTCGTGTCGCGATGGGCGTATGAAACAGACGTGCGCGAAAATTCAGGTACGCAGCCAAACTTCGTGCAGCAATGAGCGGTTGCGTGGTGAGATCTCGATAATGCGGAAAGATTATAAGGCATGCAAACACAGGCACACTAGAGCAGAACGAAGCAACCAAAACATATCTTGGGTCCGTGTTTGCGCGAATTACTTTCAACTTGGACGAATCCTCTTTGTCATCTAACTGCACTTCTTGTTGATTGGAGATCTCAATCCTAATTCCAATTAGTTCAAAGATTTTGTTTTGTTTCATAGTTCAAGTTGAGCCCGTTCTCTTACTTGTTTAATTATGTGAATGGTTTGAAAGTATGCTAATACTCGAGAAAACAGTTGCTATGGTGACCACGTGTGGGGTTCTGTGTTGCAGTAAGTCCATGAAAAATAAAACACGCCAGTTAACTCCAACCTCTTGTTTTATTGATTTATAACACATTCACATACAACAGATACAAGTTACAGAAAAAGGCAGCAAATGAGCAAACACTGACGACACCAAAATAATTGTGATATAGTAGTATGGGACACTACGAGATGCATATCGGATGGCCGAAGATACGGGAGACCTCTTTGGAGCCATTCACTTGGTTTCACTTGCACGGGTTCTGGCGGTAGTGGAGCTTGAATCCTCGGGCGTTGTTCACGTGGTTCGAGACAAAGCGCATCAGGAATGGACCGGGCGTGCCATCTGTGAATCCAGAAGATCAGCAGATACAGTGACGGTGATTACGTCGAACCCCTTGAACATCAGGAGATATTTTGATCATAATCAGTCAATCGGTCTACTGGAGAAATAACGCCTGTTCTATATATTGTTACGTGACCATTACACTGTCAGTCGCGAGCCTCAGTACAGCACAGTCAACTTCTTCAACTTCCTGCTAGACACCTATTTGAGTATGTTCCACTGTCCATCGATAATGTAAGTGAGAACCATGCAACAATGTGTCCAGACCTTCAATTATTCTTTGCCTGATTGAGTCAATTTCAGCTCATACCCGCGAAATTCTTAATTGCATCAGTCCACCTATCTCTGTCACCCCAGGCTATGCTTCCCATCCCTCGGTATACATCACTCTCACTGATAAACAATATACGTGACCCACCCAAGTCCGTTTTTTTTCTCATAACGTGAACTATAACAAGGCCACTCCTGCTTCTTAGTTTCTTCACTGATCCACGCCGCCCTCTTGTTTGTTATTCTAGCACATGTCGCGTGTTATTTCGTTAGGCGCTGCGTGGCCCTCTTGTGAAAACATCGGCTCCATTCAGTCCTTTTACACAAGTCTAGCCAGAACCCAGCCTCACTGACGACCATAGGCGCGTGCAGGTGCACCCGCGAGAAGTAGCAGGGTGCCACGTATCACTTCGTATCCTCTTCTGTTTTTTTTTTACTGATAGAATCTCGAGAAAAACCACCTTCGCAACAAAGCTAATATGAAAATGACGTCGGGACAGGCTTCTGATAACGACTGGCCTCTGACACCAGTCTTTACAAGAGTAAAGACGAGGAGGAAAGAGAGAGAGAAAAAAGGAAGGCCGGGAGGTTAACCAGATATTGCCATCCGGTTTGCTACCCAGCAGTTGGGGGGGGGGGGAAATAGGGGGCACTAAAGAGGGGGCACTAAAGAGGGAGTAAATTGAGAAGAAAAAAAGAAAAAAAACGCACGTGCGCTCATGAGAAAGCGAAAGCACACCCAGGACGGGCGTTCTGGCTACAACCATTCAGAAAGGCCGGTCAATTGCAAAAAGTGCAGTAGCGCCTTCAGGGCCTTCTTCTGGAACGTTGCATGTTGTCAATATTGTAAAATTGTTTCCACCGGCAGAGGTTGATTATCTTATTCTCTGAGTTCCTTGCGAAGGCATCGTCGCTGTCTACTATACTTTAGGCATTCACAAAGAATATGCTGGATGGCTTTATCTTTGCCACAGTGGCCACAGGCTGTGGGAACATTTTTCCCTATGCAATATCAGGGATCCTCTCCCGCCATTATAGTAAAAAAAGGAGCATGTCTATAACATAGAAGTCTGCACAATTGCGGTTCAGGTTCAACCGAGTAAAGGCGTGGCGCAGGCTTGGCGCAATATATTAAGTGATTGCGGGGTACAGTCTGCCCTTCCACTTCACCCCCCTCCTGTGCGCATGCCTATATGCCGATTCTTTTAAGCGCAATAAGCCAACGTGTTTCTCGAAACTCAGGTACTTCGAAGATGACACATAAGCGATTCACAAGGCGAAGCATTCATGTTTCATTTACAGGAAAACAGGCATGCTGCCACATTTTACCTGTAATGAGGGTGAGGCCTGTCGCGTTGAGATCCCGCGTGTGGCGCTGCTCAACCTCGGTTTCGTGGCCCGTGGAGCACATGCGCACTCCTCCGATTATGATGTAATCATCCGGGCACTCAGCCATGATTGGCGAGGAGGTCAGCAGAACGCTGTCATAGGAGAAAAAAAAAAGGGGGGGGGGGAAATGAGAAACAGTAACTTGAGGAAACCGACTGACCAAAGTAGACATATTCAGTCAATGAAGTTTTGTTCATCTATCTTGAATAATCATTCTTACGGGCTATATTTGCCTGCACACCAGTGTCTCTTGAGCCTTCAGGTTACCGTGCAGTGAATTGAGCTCTAATATACTATCTTGAGCACACAGTCGCTGTTTTAAATCAATCATGCAGGTAGGAAGTTCTCTTTTCTGTTTCAAATACCAATTCAGGTGGCTATAAACGAGTTTCTCAATGATTTTGGGACGCAAGTTAACCGGGAAACTGGGTGGTACGACGAGGCTGTCAGCCGCATTTTTTTTTTTCAATTTTAAAATGGGAAATACCTACATAACGTTGCAAATTTTGAAATGTCTTACGTGTTCCACACTACATTGAATATATACAGCAATGAGTTCGTGTTTTCGACGTGTCGGCAGTTCCACGTGCATCTCATTACTGATGAGTTACGGACTGCTGCACAATACTGGCGCAAGCTTCTGAGTGCCAACACCGCTTCCCGAAAGGTAAGAGGTGCAGTCATCATACAAAAGCAAAGAGGTGGCATGAAAATTGTGGCGTCTGACACCACCGAGAAGACCGCTCCTCTGTCCTTGCTCTATTCATGGAGATCTCCAAGGCCTATTCAGGTTTACAGTCGTCAAGTATATCCAGATCTCCAGGTTTACAGTCAAGTATAACCCAACTACAATCCATGGAAAAACATTGATGGCAGATCCACAAAGTGAATGATGATGAGATTGGGCGAAGCTCCTGGAAGTAATACCATGAAATGTTCTTCCGTTAATTCGCCTGGCGATATGCGCGCTTCCTCGCCGCTTCCGATTGTCGAAAGTTTTCAAGATCTGCTTCGTGACGTTGACGTGCTGCCTCGGTTTCTCGTTCCGGTACGGAAGGATCTTGCCGACGCTGACGTGCCGCTGCAGCTTCTTGTTCACGTACGGCGAAATCTTGCCGACGCTGCCTTGCTGATGTGGCTTCTTGTCCCCGTACAACAGGATCTTGGTGGTGATGTCGCGCAGCTTCTTGGCATGCTTTTGCCTCGCGTGCTCTCACTTCAGGGTCCTTCAGGGTGCTGTCAGGGTGCTCTCACTTCAGGGCCCGCCTTTCGGCATCCTTATCCATACGAGCACACACCAACGGCAACGAGCATCGAAAATACAAACCTATATCGATATGGTTTTGATTATAAAACAATTGCTTTAGAAAACACCTGGCGTCTTTCGTTAAGCAGCTGGCGCCTTCTTTTTGTTTTGCTTTAGAAACATCTGGTGTCTTTTCATTTTGCTTTTAGAAAACATCTGGCGTCTTTAGTTGGTTTATTTTATCAATCAATGAAGTTTGAACAAAAATTTTTTATTGTTTAATCACACACGGGAAAAATCTCACCAGGCACTACCTTGAAGGTAAACAATGGCTGCTTCTGGGAATGAGAGACAGCAAAAGTCGGCTTTTAACACTTCTACTTCTACTAACGTTTCCTACTGGAACATGCCAATGGCTGCTAATGGAGAATGAGAGACAGAAGAATTCGGCTTTTAGTTAACGCGCACGCTGCGAATTTTTTTTTATTGTTCAACAACGCACAGGAGAAATCTCCCACCGGCACCACCTTGGAGGTCAAAGCGTAAGACTGGTTACACACTACGACTACGACTACGACTACGAGGGACGAACGGGTGCCGCTATAAGGAGCTTTGCCCCTAAAAATGGCCTATGCTATGTGCTTCATGCAGACCTTTCTCACCAACCGTGTTACCTGGCTCACCTCGGAGACACTGAGCGCGGTGAAGATAATTATTCGGGAACACTCTGAACACTGGTTCCTTGAGCAAACCATACGTAGACGCCCTTTGTGTTTTGTGCGCGTAAAAATTGGATCGAATGTGCTCTGAGAAAAGCTAATGGGAAGAAATCTATTACCAATCAAATCAAGCAATCGATAGATAATTCAGTCAGTCAAGGGCGTCCTGATGTCTAGAACTGTTTGGGGCCAATTGGCGTTCAATGTACAAAACAGACGGCTACTGAATAACAACCAGTAGAAGATACAAGTGAACATAACAATTTGAAAGTAAGTAAACAAGACATGTTACTTATGACCTAAGATTAAGAGAAATTGCAAACAAACATATCAAAAGTTGTTAACCTAACGTCTGATAATTTAAGATTACAAATGAAAATATGGAGATAGACTTATATGAAGAGCGATTGCGCCTGGATGGGTAAAGTCATTGTTAACATAACCGTCCTCCTGACAGACATTGCCATTTGAACAAGGGATCGCTACGAACCCTGAAACGTCAGTGTTATATTTTGCCATTAGAAGTTACTTGCTTACATCATTAACAACTGACACAAATATATTTATAAAATTTTTTATGCAACGTCATACACAAGGTCATAACCTACATAGACCTAAAGGGAAGCCTCACCTATCCCTTTGCGAGGGAATGGCACCCACTCCGAATGGCGACGCACCGAGCTCTTCATCCGGGGCTACCTCGTAGGTGACCGAGCAGAACCCGGGCTCCTTTCGCAGGCAAACCACGTAGTCCAGGTCATTGGGGTAGCCTTGATGGTGAGGGCTACCCCCGGCCTCGTCATAATTGAAGCTTTTTACCGTGCCGTGGGTGCCCCAGAAGTACTGCAGACAGTGAGAGGGCGCTGCGAGCGGGAAGACGTCATCATAGTCAGTGCGCGTTGACTCTCGTCTGTTCTGATCACTTCTACCTGGCCTGCTGTTAAGAAGTGCATGCTCGCGTAACACCTACTATTCTATTTGTACATGCTTTGCAGCGCAACAAAAGAAAAGAGTCTCGTTACCTGAAACCGGGAGTTAACATGGAAAGAAAAACATCGAGCCAACTGAAACAAGTAAAGTTCCACAAGTAAAGTTTCACCGCCATAAGTGTCTTATTAGCGGAAAAAATCAAACGGATAAGTTTATTTTCGAAGTTCGCGCCAAAATATCAGCGAGTGAATCAGCAAATTTTGAAATATTTTTCATCCTTTCATGACATTAGCTCAACGAAATTTTTTGAATCTTCGTATGCTCGGTGTAGGACACCTGCAGTAGACTTTGTGCTTCAATTTTATTAAGTAAAAGCTATGCAGTATATGCCTTCAAAATTTACTACGTCACGGGGTTTGGTACGGGAATCTGACAGTGGTGTCCCCACTCGCCTTTCTTTTTCACACGTTTTCTCACCGAGCATCAAATCGTGGCGAGGTAGGTGTTTTTGAGAGTGTGAAGTTGTACGCAATAAGCGAAAATTCATTTTGCCCTTCAGTGTCCCTTTAAACATGTATTCAATGCTGTAGAAGCCTCTTCTATTATTGTAAAGATTATTGTTTCACCTACCTGTCGCTGTGTGCGTACGCCATCACATGAGGATGCACACAAACATTATTCCATGAGTCTCACCACTTAAAACTCCGTAAATCTAAAACGAAAGAAAAGCTACAACGTATGACACTTCAAGCACTTACCTGATTGTGGGCCCTCGCATTCCACTTGCGTAACCTTGATGTCAAATTTTCTCGAGTAGCTACCGACCATCATCAGGTTCAAACTGATGCCTCCCGACTCTTCCACGTCGACGTATGCTGCAAAGAAAAAAAATTCACCAACGATTAGGGTACTGCCGAAGGCGAGCTCTGAACACCGCTTCGGGTGTGGCCAAAGCCAACTGCAACTGAAGTGTTTGCTTTCTACTAGAAATCGACTATCCCATGATTCATAATTTTCGTAATGTAGCACATCAACCACTGCGATATTATTCATCTTTCTGTGGATAATTGAGGAACCAGCTACACATTTTTAAGGCAATGTGTTTACTCTGTTGATGATGAAACTGCCTGATGACGGTGAACAATTATGGCTGACCACATTCCAGATGGTGGTAAACATTAAACCACACACTTGTTGACAAATGATGACTGGTTGTTACTAAATTCTAAGCAATTCTTAGCGAAGTGGAGGCGTGTAGAGTGAATTTATCTATCTATCTATCTATCTATCTATCTATCTATCTATCTATCTATCTATCTATCTATCTATCTATCTGTCTGTCTGTCTGTCTGTCTGTCTGTCTGTCTGTCTGTCTGTCTGTCTGTCTGTCTGTCTGTCTGTGTGAATCTTGGGTGCTGCTTTATTTTTACTTAGTTTTTATGTCTATTGGTTACGCTACCCACAGTGAAGGCAACGCCCACCGCGACGCCGCTCAATGCAAGAATGGGTGACTAGAAGCTGTGCTCTAAAACAATGTGTAAAATTTATTGAAGTGTGGATAACGTGTCTTGGTTCGAGGCCTGTAGCATGGCACTTTGTGATATATTTTAAAACGTATTGTAGAGCTGTAACGACTTACGTTACGCAAAGGGACGTTAATTATATCTGTACAGTGATTTCCTCGCAATACCTTCGCCCTATGTTGAATTTCCCGCGCTCATCGCACAAGAAGAACAAAAACTATGGGCGAGTGAGATCATGGGCTCAATAGAAGAAGACTATGAGAAGCTGTTTTGGACTCATGTGGACGCTAATAAAAGTCTGTCTGAGTTCTTAAGTTCGTATCAGTCGTTCTGTGAGCCACATATTTTAAATTTGGTGTCGAAACCTGCGGGACCGAACTAGGGACCTTTAGAGGAGGCTCATCGCACAGTAGGAAACACTACAGGCAAGTGATCTCGGGAAGTTCAACACCCTACACACCTCTTCGTGCTTTTAAATCAAGCACTTTAGCTCGTGTAGGTGGTGTATATATGTTTTCTAAACTACCGCTCCGTCACTATTTGACAACGATTTATGCGGAATTCCTCAGAGGAATATAAAGAGGGTGCAACTAGAATAAGGAACTCAAGCTGAAGGGAAAGGAGTTTAAAGAACTATTCTGCCTCATTGTGAGGCCTAAAAATTTATGCAGGTGTCAACAAGGTCGCCGAAATCTTCTTTTCAGGCACTATTATCTTCTCGGAGCAGCTTGCAAGGAAAAGCTTTTAGGGGCGAAGCTCCTTATGGCGTGGCTTGGGCGTCCCTAGTATGTAACCACCAGTGGCACATACCCGAAATAGGTATAACACTTGACCTCCAAGGTGGTGCCAGTGAGAGATTTCTTCTGTGCGTTGTTTAACAATAAAAAATAGTGCTCAATGTACATGCCAATGGCTGCTAATGGGGAATGAGAGACATGAGCATTCGGCTTTTAGTCAACGCGCACGCTGCGATCCCCATTAGCAGCCATTGGCATGTACATTGAGCACTATCGGACAAGAAAGGGATGCTACATTATACTCGCTGGGTGTAACCTCCTTAGCTTTAGAAAGGTTTAGCGAGCGTTGAGCCGCAGTGCCATGAATACAATGAACTTGTATATACCATGAATGAACTCAAGGTGGTTAAAAATGAGAAGTAGATACGAAGCGCAAGCCATAAGAAAGTAAAAGCCGAATTGTCCTGTCTCTCATTTCTCATTAGCAGCCATTGGCATGTAAATTGAGCCCTATCTGACAGGGAAAGGTTGCTACGTTATACTCGCTGGGCGTAACCTCCTTGGTTTTCGAAAGGTTTAGCGAGCGTTTGGTCGCAGTACCATGAATACAGTGAACTAGAATATACCATGAACTCGAGGTGGTTAAAGGTGGGAAGTGGACCCAAAGCGCAGGCCGTAAGAAAGTGTGCGTGTGCCACCTCTCGTTTAGTCCTTGGAATGTCCGCTGGATGGCGGTGCTTCTATATGGGGAGTATATGATAAAAAGATGCGAGATGGTGGGACTTGGAGTGTTGAATAGATGAACGAACGGACACACAAACAGATGCATGGATGGACGCATGAACGGACGCAGGGGCGGATGCATGAAAGAACGCAGGGACGGGCGCACAAACAGACGCATGGACGGTCACACAGACGGACGCATGGACGGACGAATGCTTCGCCCCACTCTCCATCATTCACTCCGTGGATATGCTGCCATTTTTGAGAACCATTAGAAAGAGCTAATGGACGTACATCAATACTGTGACTTCAGAAAGCAAGTTGCGTGATCTATAGCGAACAGTCAGTGATGCCATGGTATTACAAAGCGTCTAAGAAAGTGCCAGTCGGATGCCCTGTTGTGCTGTCTCGAGGCGTTAATACAGTTGAATGAATTTAGCTAGGGCTGCGGTGACACATCACGTGTTGGGATCTATTGAAAGAAATATTCGTGATATCCCGGTGTAACGGTGTGTCTAAGAAAGTCCGTGGTGACTACATACCGTGTTGGCCTGTGTTTAGGCCGCATATTCGAGGCACCTGGTTGTTCTCGTTCTGGCCAGAGACAACGAGCATGTCCTGGGAACAGTTTCCGTCCACGGGCCTCGCCAGGTCCAGCGTGAGGAAGTCCAGCCGGAACTGGCACACGTCGGCGTCCCGCTTCGAGACTCGGACCTTGCACATGGCCTCGCGGTTGTGCGTGCCGGGGTAGCCCGGGTTCCGAACGTACGCCGTGCGCTCCGAGCTCGCCTCCCCGCAGGACACCTCGACTGCGAGAAACGCCGAAATTCGTGACCAGAAGGGCAGCTCTTCGATTAGAATCCCCCTCGCAGAAAGCTCCCTGGGCACAGATATAATCTCCTAGTGTCTTATACTCTTTGATGTTGCCTTTCCTCTGTCGCAATTTTTTTGTAATTTCTCCCCCTCTTCGCAACATTTCTTTTTAACATCTTTCATTCCCCTCACACCTTTCCCCAGCACAGGGTAGCCAACCGGTCTAAGAACTGGCTAACCTCCCTGTCTTTCCGCTTAAACTTTCTTCTTCCTCTTAGCTTTGGTAAATAAACATGGTCCTCATTAACGCACTGCCGAAGCAGGGGGGGGGGGGAGTGACTATAATTGAAAAGAAGAGAAACGTGAGCCTCGTAACTGTCCTTCAGTGGGAGGACACCTAAACAGCAGCTCATGAGGGATGGGGGTAGAGAAAGGAATAAAAGGATAGGTTGCAGTGGCGTCAGCCTTTGTACTGCCGTGCTTAGGTACCCGTCACACAACACAGAATGGTGGCGTTTTAGTAGCTTGCTCGGCAAGCTTCTTATGCTCGGAGCATGTCACTTGGCGTGTACGCTAGTTTCGTATAGAATAAGAAGTGCTTTTGGTACGCTTCTTATTCTATACGAAGTAAGGCCAGATTTAGGAACCATAGAAAATGCATTGAACAGGGTTCATTGTGCTTGAACTGACAGCAATGCAGTAACCATGGTATTTAAATAGGTGGGGCTGTGAGTAGTTTACTGCTGACGTCCTGGAGGAGCCAAAGTCTAACTTAGTATCCATAAAAGTGACAAGCCACTGGTTTTTACGTCGAAGTGCATTACCATTTATGTCACCATGGTGACTTCAACGTTAATGCACTTCGACTTGAAAACCAGTGTCACTGGTTACAATGACACATTGTAACACCGGCACATCCTGTAGTTACGCTGCACAGAGGTTGTGCTACAAGGAGTTCATGACGTCCGTCCGCAAGGTTCCTGTTGAGATGTACACTGTTGTGACGACTAAACCATGTGATGTTGTAACGGTGCGAACCTCACCGCAACTCCTCTGGGGCTGCGAGTTTAGCTTCTCAGTTTAAACAGGTAGTGGCGGAGCGCGTATTGATGGGTTCAGAAGCATGACAGGACCATAAACTTCCCGAATAGGGCTGTACTTGATTCGAGCAATTTTCCGTGTTGCCTCTCAGTGAAAGTGAAGACAACACATTTTAGAATGCACCTTTCATCCAACTGTGTCTGCTTCAGTGAACCCACCCCTCACATGATCAAGCCATCGGACACGTCAATGTCTACGAAAAGCAGTACGGATTGTCCAAACAAAGTAGATGCTTTATTCAAGAATGTTTCCTATGTGTCAATTAACATCCAGCGGCAATTGGTGTAGATAAGTAGCTCGCCGTTAGTGTAAAGGATAGTACGAGCGCGATGGCCTAGTTGGCTCATGCAGCCCGCTTAGAGCAAGGGGTCGTTGGTTCGTATCTCCGGTGGTTGCCGTGGAATGTTTTCTTTCGATTCATTTTCCTTTATGTCTGTTTATGCGCATATGTGTACATACAAATAAATATCCGTGGCATGACGCTACGGTTACGACGAAAAACAGCTGAGAGGATCAATATTAATGCTATCGCAATAAAAATAGTTATTATGTGACAAATTAGTGTGCAGGAATACGTTATTAATTGTATGCCACCAAAACTAATACTTTCGCATACAGTGATCAGCAGAAGTCTGATAAATATAACAACAGATGCACATAACTCCCAACTGACGCAATAGGAAACAGGGTAAATGGGTATAAGCACATACTCTTCAATCGTGTACATCAACTTGGTGGTAGATTCACCAGAGCATAAGATACCAAGGTAGTAAACACAGATAAAAAGGGCAAGGAGACAAGCAAATCATTTCCACCTGACGGTGATGTTTAAGTATTTCACACGACGAACGTGATCGCGGATATATCGGCCGTGTGACATGTGACGCGGTTCGGATCTCTCCGCAGCCCGCTTTCACACGACAGAGGAGAATCAGCACAACAAGAGAGTATTTTTTTATTGGTTCCCGAGCCTCCCAGCGGAAATTCACGCTTCCATTGCTGCGCGAATCGGTTCACACGTAAGAGAGAATGGCTGGCGTATGGTGATCTAGTACGAAATCCGCCGGCTCGAATCACGATTTGGTCTGTCGGTGAGTACAGCTTTAGCATCACGTTGGCCGTAAAAGAAGTTGGACCCGTTCATGCCCAACGTGTGTTTAGAAAAACTTTCAACGATTTAAAATACGATGTACTATGCAAGAGCAAATAGGAAATTAACCGGTGAGAGCAATGTATTTAGAAAAAAAAGTGGTCAACGATTCTGAAAATTCGGTACTCTACAATGGGAGAGCAGAAAAGCCGTTCCATGGGCCTCACACCTAATGAGGCCGTGGTGACCGAAATTCCGCGTAAGCAGCACGGAGTCGAGCAACGTCATTGGATTTGTGTGTTTACAAAAAGGGGTTAAGTTTACTACAGGTGAGCATAAAGGCATTCCGTGGGAATCACACTTTTTAACCCTCTAGGCTGACGTCCCTACGCTGGCTTCTGGTGTTTAGAAAAGGTGTTTAATGACTTACCCCTGCATTCTAGAACGTTCCTTCACTCAACGCTTCACCTTCACTTGAGAAAGCCGATGGAAGCACCTTCTATAGGCACGGCAAGTCACTGCATATCTGCGATAATCTGCTGCAATTCTCCAGTAGCACATCATTTTCAGCCGAGCAGTGGCGCAGTGTTCAACTCTTTCAAGTGAAGGGTGAAAGTCGAGTCGAGGAGCGTTTGTGAATACGGGGGTTAGAGCACTAGGTTCACTACTATGGCAGAGCGGAGAGCCGGCCCAAGTGCGGACTCAAGAAAAAAGAGAGACAGAGAAATGAAGTATGTTTAGAGAAAACAAATAACAATTGAGAGTATTTGGTACTGTACTAAGGGAGAGCACCATGCCGTCCTGGTAAACGAACGCAATATAGAAGACGTTCAGAAAGAAGTATTTTAAAATATTGAGGACTTGGCCCTCTACTAGGGGAGAGCAGGAAAACGTTCCTGAAGCCTTTCATGTGTTCAGAAAAATTGGCCGATCCCATGTACAGTGGGAATCGATGATATGCGAAGCACGAGTGAGGAAGGGTAATAGGTCACTTGAAAATCAGCACAACGTCAAGAGACGAAGGTAATTTATGCCGTACATGACTTCATGTCATGATTATCATGCTTGGACGTTTCCTTTACCTTCGATATCTATCAACGTCACCTGATACCACCTTTGATATATATGAAGCTAGTGAAACGGCCGTGAGCGTGCTATGAGCGTAGCATGTAGTCATGTTTTACATGAAATCCATATCATGATTATCATATTTGGACGTGTTGTTTGGTTCATCGTCCATTCACGTCATGTAATACCAAACTTGGTATATGTGGAACTAGTGAAACAGCCGCGAGAACGCTGTGAGTGTTGCATGAAGTCATTTATTACATTAAACGCATATTATGATTATCAAGTTTGGACATGTCACTTACCTTCGTCACCCATTAACGTCACGTAACACCAAATTCGGTACATGTGGAGCTATTGCAAGGGCGGTGAGCGCGTTTTGAGGGGAGATGCGGGTCGAAAAACGTGAGTTTTTTTTTTTCAAAATTACAGATTTTTTTTTTATTTTGCCTGTTTTGATAACATTAGTACCTCAACTGTTATGGAAAAAAAATACAGGTCGAGATTTGACTGGAAATGCTTTAAAATAGCATCAAAGGAGCACAAGGTGCCTGTTAAAAGGTCGAAAGTGTGCAGTCTTCGAGCACCTTGCTGTCGATAATGCGGCGCCGCTCACCATTGTTGATCGCATGAGTCGAAGAGTCCAGCCTCACGCTTCAAATAACAACAGTTCCCTCGCTGATGCGGCGCAATAAATAATAAAAAGAAGCACACTTCTGCGCGTTTTTCGAGCGCCGCGACTGGATTATTATGTGGTACGAATCGGGGACCGCCATTAGCCGCTGTGCGCCTGTATGTGCTGTGAAGCCTATTTGCGGGGTCTATGTCTTGTCGAGCAGCGCAGCTGAACAATGCTTTTCTCGTGTACTTATCTCCGTTATGAAGGGAAAAAGCATTGCTCGCAAATGAAAGCCGTTATGCGGCACGCTCTGTAGGAATAGGCTACGAGCAGCTGGTCTGATTTGCGGCAGTTGTTGGCTTGCAAAAACCAATGCCTCAAAAGTCATTCACACCCGTCAGCCGGAAAGCTCGTGATGCGGCAGTGGATGACGTCAGCACCAATCTTGCGAGGTCGAAAGAGCTCGCAGTGAGAGAACTTAGCAGGGACCACTTGCCATTATGTACTACGGTATGTGGCACAAACACGGCCACAAAATGGCATGACACTGGACTTAGTTTGGATTTCGCAGTCCTGTCGAACTTCTTCCTAGCTTGCAGTTGGAACAAGACTCTGCCAAATGGAGCGGAAGTTTGGCAAGCGTTTCATGGCCCTGTCGTGAAATGTCTGTGAGGCGTCGGCTCAAAAAAGCTGAGAGGGACAAACTCATGGGGCTGTCATATGTTAGTCGCAGTGGCCACTACAAGAAGGATTGTTCTTTTTTGTGTACAAATTTCGTCAGATTGAATGATATCTTTCCTAAATAAAAACTCAATTTTAACTCGAAAACTCGTTTTTCTCAAAACACAAATTTTGCCTTTTTTTTTAATGAGCCCCTCCTTTTTCGGGCACTTCTATTGCGAGGATTTGCATAAAATTTTGCGCAATTTTTTTTTCAAAGTAGGGCGAATGCAATTATTTAGTTTAAATCTCAATATTTTATTGCACAATAAAAAATTCTATGTAATCCTTTACTAGGGTAGGTGAAATATGGACTTTTCACGTCTATTATTTTACACACCTAGTACATATGTGTTTTCTAATTAGTTATTTGCATTCTACACTTTATTTCAAACATT